TTACTTTGTTCTCTGTGAAAAAAACTGAATTTGTGGGGTTTGATTTTCAATTTGTCACCGAAAATTATTAAAAAAAAAAAAAAAAAAGACAGATGCATAGTGAAAAGGACATGGGTCTGAGTTAGAGTCGGATTCAAATCCCGTATCTGCCACTGTTTTTGTTTAATTAACTACCCTATAGCTACTTCCTGAAATGGGGATAAAATTAACCATCTTGTTCAACTGTTGTGAGATTTGGTGAATAACCTACTTTATGGCAAGAGATCAATAAATGGCTCTCAGTCTAGGAATTTTCTTTAATACAAAGGAAGATCCAGATGACAAGCTTTTCTCCAATAGGAAAGAATTTGGCAAAAACAAAAAGATCAGTGACTCCTTAATCTGTGATTGGCTACAGTAATAAATTTTGAAAATATTGATTTTTTTCTTTATTTACTATTTTTGGCTATAGTTATACATTTACCACAATAGGATCTTAAATAAACTTTGAGTATCCAATTTTTTTCCAAATGTGAACAAATAAAAGCTTATGGGTAATGCCACTTAACAAATTCAAATCTAAAACACTAGCTAATTGTAATATATAATGTGTTTTTTACAAAAGCAAGTTAAATATTACTCTAGGAACGTTTTAATTTCATTCAATTTGACTGCAGGAAGGCAGCGTGGTGCAATAGAGACTTGGATCCTGGTCAGGATTCTGCCAATCTACTTTGAAGCCCACAAGGCAAAATTAAGGTGAGGCCCTTAAAAGGCAAAATTCTATAATTTTAATCAAACATCTCATCTTTCCCCAAAACAGAAATCACATATTAACATTAGTTGAAATGTTTTAATTAAATATGATATATAACATTATTTTACCTAGTCAACTGCAATTCAAGTTTCATGTACTTTAAAATGTGAGATATGAACTGAAGCAGAGCTTCCAGAAGGAAGTCAGGGATCTAGAAGGATTTTGAAACTATTCTGCCCTATTAGGTTCCCTACTCTGTGATCCCAATTCCCTCTGCTTCCCACACCAAATCACCATCAGGGCTACTGACCGTGAATTCAGGTTTTAGAGAATTTTGTTTTCCATACTCCCTAAGAAAAAAGCTAAAAATCTTTACCCAGAATTTGTACTGATACACAAGAGTCATTCACTGGTACTTTCTGGACCAACAGCTCTGGTCATCTGTGTCAGTTTCCCATCTGCTTTGTGCCCCTGATCACGATTAGGTTCCCAGTGAAACTGTGTCCTTCTTTCAGACAGATCTGGTCTCAGCCCTAACTATTTCCAGCCTCAAGGCTGAGGCACATCCCAGGATCCCAGGAAAGGGTGCTCAGTAAATGTTGAGGAACTACTTCTTTCTCCAAAAAGCAATGGTACTAAACCACATGCTACCACAATGAAGTTCTTGCCAAAATAT